ATAAAAAAGTGGAAATATTCTTAATAAAATTAAATTCTGTTTCATGTTTCTTTGTTAATGATATTTTAATAATTTAGCACCTAAATTGCATTTCTTCATGCCTTCTTTCCTGAAAAAAGCTGGACTACTACTATCAAATCCCCACAATTTTGATATTCTCAGAACTTTGGTTTAAAGGGAGAGAAGGAATATACATCCGTCCAGTTGATTGTTGGAAAGGTCTAGAACAGAAAGTGATGTTAAAGGATTATTTGAGGAAAAAGAAAATATGAGAGAGAGAGGTAGAGAGAGAGTGAGAAGGGATCGTGGTGGACATTGTTCAAGGGCTAGACAGTCGGCATTGAACTGGGAGCAGGGCGGATCTCGGCGTAGAAGCTACCAAAGGAATAGGGAAACGAGGGATTGGGGGAAACCACAAGATGATCAGTACCAGGGTCGAAACATACAGAGAGGCGGGCCTTATAACTGGGGTCTATATAAACAAGCAACAACATTTTTCTTTACCAATGTTCCGGATGACTGGAGCTATGAAGAAATGTGGAGCACGTTCTTGAAATTCGGCCGAGTTTATGACATCTATACTCCAGATAGAAGAAGTAGGAATGGAAGTAGATTCGGCTTTGTGAGATTTCTAGGGGTGACAGACAAGAAGGAATTGGAAAGAAAGCTGGATCAGATCCGGGTAAGAGACCGGAAATTGTGGGTGAATATTCCCAGGTATGAAGTTGAGAAGCAAGAAGGTGGGGAGAAAAGAAATAGTTCTGGTATGATGATCGTAGATCAGAGAAGAAGTTATGCCGAGGTGGTGAAAGGAATTCAACAGAAGGAAGTAATAGGCGATCAGAGCATTCTCAACATGGTGGACCGAGACAGTAGTAGAAGAAATGGCAAAGAAAGTAAGAAGTATGCAGGGCAAGACAAGCAAGGGAATTACAGAGACAGTAGCAGACATCAGTCTCGGCAAATCGCAAATAGGAAAGTGTGGAAAGAAAGAGGAAGGGGAGAGAAATGGGCAGGTATGGAGTTCAACGTAAAACCTGAAGAGTATGCTTGGCTTGAAGGCAGCTATGTGGGTATAGTGCATTCCGTGGAGATGGTACGCAATTTACAAGAAAAATTTTTTATGGAGGGATATTTTTCTTGCCAAATCCGTGCAATGGGAGGCAAAATGGTGCTGTTAACAGGTCAAGACAAAGAGGAAGTGAAAGACTTAGTCGAAATGGCTGCAGACTGGCTAAGGCAATGGTTTGAAGAGGTGACGCCGTGGACTCCACAGATGACAGCAAAAGAGAGATTTGTGTGGCTAAGGTGTCAAGGGGCACCAGTGAATGTATGGGGAAGTGAATTCTTCTCAACTATGGGCCGTTCATGGGGTAATTTTATTTGCTTGGATGACAGTACAAGCAAGAAGGAAAGATTTGACATTGCAAGATTTTTGATTTCTACCCCAATAATGGAAACAATTACAGTTACAAGGGAAATCAAAATCAATGGAAATATATTCAAGCTGAAATTTACAGAAGAGGAAGCCACCAATTGCTTTTTCTCCTTGAAGCATGATTTTATTCCTTCTTTTAATAGCGAGTCCGAAGATCGGGAATCATGGTCTTCCGGATCAGAGCCGGAGATGATGGATGAGGAAGATGACAGGAGAAACGTGGAGGTTCAATTCGGGTATCCTGGTGAAGATGATGATGACGTAAGAAGTTGTAGGAACGTGGAAGAAAGGAGTAAGTCAATTCAAATCAGCAAGGGTGGGGGTGCAGCAAAAGCCGTTGGTGACAACCTGGAGGAGATTCAAAATTCAAATGCAAGTGATAGAAACAGGTGGCCAGAAGGCGTGGCTACAGGACTGAAGGTGCAGGCCTCGTTTTCGGAAATTGGAGAAAAAGAAGGTGAAGAAATTAATCACAATTTGAAGCCCAGAGATCAGCCAATGGCAGGGCCCAACTCGCAGAAGGAAAGCCCAATACCAATTGAATCCACAAATGTGGAAGTGACCCAAGTTGATACAGTTAAGGAGGATTTATTTACAACCCAGAACAGGGACGATTCTGGAATTGGAGAACCCACAGAAGAAAAGGGCGATGGTGAAGAAGATGCCTTCTGGAAGGGTCACGAATCTGAGAGAAGCCGAATAGAAGTATGGATCGGCAAGCAGATGGAGGAGATCAGCTCAAAAAACTGCAGAAGGAAGGTCCGACGGTGCAGTTCGGTGTATGGTCAACCCAGATTTAGCGAGGCAACAGCAGGAAGTAAGAGAGGAAGAAAGAAGATGAACCCGAAGCAGAGGAAGGAGAGACCAGCTCCAATCTTCACGGCAAACCAGGATGGTAAGGCTGCTGGAGACTCGGTAGGGGACAGTGATATTCATAACGTTAACAGAGCATTGAAGAAACAGTGGCAAACCCAACTCGCAAAGGAGATATGGGACTTGGCGACGGAGCTCGGAGCGGTGGCGGAGAATGACAACGAGGTGATCCAACGAATAGAGGAGATGGAGGCTAGAGATCGAAATGCAAAAAGGAGTATGGTGAACCGAGAGGAAGAAGGCTGTAGGAAGGTATGCGAAGCACTTAATGATAATTATGTCATTTAATGTTAGGGGGCTTGGAGGGGTAGGGAAGAAATCACAAATTAGGGAGTTAGTTATCAAAGAGAAAATTCAATTTTTAGCTGTACAAGAAACCAAGTTGGATACAGTTGATAGGAAGATATGTAGAAATTTATGAGGTCTGAGGAAATGGATTGGGTTGCAAAGCCGTCTGCTGGCATGTATGGAGGTCTGATATGTGTCTGGGATTCAAAAATTTTGAAGAGAAAGGAGACTTTAGAGGGGGATAATTTTATTGGGGTATTTGGACTATGGGGATCGGAGGAGATACCGGTATTTATTTTAAACATCTATTCCTCGTGTCATCTTGCAAGCAAGAGAGCTTTATGGGAGGAGTTGCAAGATCTAATTAATAACAGAAAGGGACTGTGGTGTTTAGCGGGGGATTTTATTGCCGTAAGGAGGGTTGAGGAAAGAGCTGGATGTAAGGTGGTGTCAAACGAAATGAGGGAGTTCGATGCTTTCATCCACAACTCGGAGTTGTTAGACTTGCCATTGATAGGGAGGAAATACACTTGGTATAATTCAAATGGGCAACAAATGAGCAGAATTGATAGATTCCTGTTTTCTGAAGAATGGATGTTAAAGTGGAGCGAAATGAAACAGTGGGGTCTGAGGAGGTCTATATCGGATCACTGCCCTATTATGATAAAAAATGAGCTGGTTGACTGGGGCCCAACACCGTTCAGATTTTTTGATGCTTGGTTGGATCAACCTGGATGTAAGGATGTAATTACAAGTGTATGGAGTGACAAAGAAGTGAAGGGCTGGAATGGATTTATACTTAAAGAAAAGCTGAAAAGAACAAAGAAGGCACTAAAGGAATGGAGTGGCAAATCCAACAGGGTGATGGATGGAAAAATAAAGGAAGCTGAACTGGTGATCGCTTCAATTGATGAGAAAGGAGAGCAGCAACAGTTGTCGGATAACGATGTTGAATTGAGAAGGAACAGTTTTATTGATCTGTGGAAGAACTTGAAGATCAAGGAGAAGATGTGTCAACAAAAATCAAGAAAGCAGTGGCTAAAGGAAGGTGACGCGAATACAAAATTCTTCCATAGAAGCATTAAGGGACGATGGGGCAGAAATGAAATCAATAGTATCCGAATAAATGGGGAGCAGCATATAGGAGTGGAGGTAATGAAGCAAGAGATTGCTAAGTACTTCCAAGAATTGTTTACAGAAGAAAATTGGAGGAGACCAAAGCTTGATGGTATATGCTTTAGGCAAATCACACAATTTGATAATGACCTCCTCACTTCCACTTTTTCGGAACAGGAAATTAAAGAAGAAGTTTGGAATTGTGAGCCATCCAAATCACCAGGACCAGACGGATTCAATTTTCGATTTATCAGGACAATGTGGGAGGTTATTAAAGATGATATAATCAACTTTGTTCGGGAGTTCCACCAACATGGCAGGCTGGTGAGGGGGTCAAACGCCTCTTTCATAGTGTTAATTCCAAAGACAGATAATCCACAAGCAATTGAGGAATTCAGACCCATTTCGCTAATAGGAGTCATTTATAAGATCATCGCAAAACTATTAGCGAATCGGTTACGGAAGGTATTACCGAAGGTGATTGGGGAGCAGCAGATGGCTTTTATTGAAGGAAGGCAGTTAGTGGAAGGGGCTGTGATCGCAAATGAGATTCTCGATGAAATCAAGAGGAAAAAGAAGAAGGGTTTCCTATTTAAAGCCGACTTCGAGAAAGCCTACGACAATGTAAGCTGGGAATTCATAGACTACATGATGATGAGGTTGGGATTCTGTGCAACTTGGAGGAAATGGATTCAGGAGTGCTTGAGTTCGAGCTTGGTTTCTATCCTAATCAATGGCAGCCCGACGAATCAATTCCCGGTTTATAAAGGCATCCGTCAAGGAGATCCTTTATCCCCTTTTCTATTCTTGATTGTGGCAGAGGGGCTGAATGGACTAATGTCATCGGCTGTGGAGAAGGAGAGGTACAAAGGAGTGGGCATTGGGAGGGGAGATGCGATGGTCACACACCTTCAATTCGCGGATGACACAATTTTCTTTGGGGAGGCAACGGAAGACAATATTATGGTGATTAAATGCATTATGAGGACATTCGAGTTAGCCTCAGGGTTGAAGATTAATTATAGGAAAAGCCAGTTGATTGGTGTGGGAATTGACCAAAATTGGAGTGCAAAAATGGCATACCAATTGTGCTGCAAAGAAGGAAAATTGCCATTCAAGTATTTGGGAATTCCAATTGGTGGGAATAGTAGAAGAAAAGCCTTGTGGCAGCCTATGGTGGAGTCTGTTAGAAAGAAGCTTGCCAGCTGGAAGGGGAGGTATCTTTCGATGGGTGGCCGCATTACGCTCATCAATTCAGTGCTGTCAAGCCTACCAGTGTTCTTGATGTCTGTCTATGTTGTCCCAAAAGGTATAATTCATTCTATTGACAAACTTCGTAAAAGCTTTTTATGGGGAGGGAAGGGAGATGAGAGAAAAATAAATTGGATTAGCTGGGACAAAGTATGTAAAAAGAAAGAGGAAGGAGGGTTAGGAGTGAGGGATTTAAGGAAATTCAACTTGGCATTGATGGGAAAATGGTGGGGTCGGCTTGCTGAAAATGGGGAGAGCATGTGGAAAAAAATAATTGTAGAGAGGTATGGTAACGGAGGGGGTCATTGGCAGGATTGGATTGCTGAAAATAGAGGAGTAGGATCAACTTGGTGGAGAGATGTGTGTGATTTAAACTCAATGAATGGGGGCAGCTATGGGTGGTTAAAAGAGGGTTTCAGGGTTATCATTGGGGAGGGTAACACAGTTAGTTTTTGGTGGGATATATGGAGGGGAGAGGAGTGCCTTGCAAATTTGTTCCCAAGACTGTATTTGCTATCTACAGAGAAGATGAAGATGTGCTGTGAAATGGGAAGGAGAACCAACGGGTCATGGGAGTGGAATTTATCATGGAGGAGGAACTTGTTTGATTGGGAGAAGGAAGAGGCATTGGAATTACATAACAAAATCCAAAACGTGCAGATCTCTCAAGGATGCAGGGACATCTGGAAATGGACCCACAGCAAGGATGGCATATACTCAACAAAGTCAGCATACGCATTATTAACAAAAGAGGAGAGGGATGCAACTGAAAGCACTACCTTCACAAGAATTTGGAACTCTAGTCTGCCAAGT